AATATCAAAATATGATATTAATTATTCCTATTTAGAGAATTAAATATAATAGTTCTATCTTGGAATTTTTGAACATGTGTCTTTAGGCAATTCCTTAATTTAAAAATGGATTTCATACCTAATTCAGTGCAAATATAAGCCAAAAATTTGCTCAAAGTGTTGGTTAGTGGTCATCAAGAATGAAGACTAGGGTTGGGTTTAATTTTAGTGCTTAATTTTTTTGGATCACCCAGTTTGTCTCAAATTTCTCCGCAGATTCTGTATATCATGAGTCGTCCGCAGGGACCTCACAGACCCTTTTTCCCGTTCGGAAATCCGTTCCGGAGGATACTACCCAATGGATCAAACATGTCCCAAAGGCTTCATTCTTTGTTGAAATCCTTTGAGGAGTCACTGGCTTTGAAGCTTAAAAACCTCATTCCTGAAAGCATAGATGGCTTCATCAGCTTATCCTGGTTCCAGAAAGCTATCGTCACACTTTCCGAAATCCACGGAGACACGAAAGAACTCATAACCGCACTCGAATTTCCCGTTTCAGATTGGGACGAGAAATGGATCGACGTCTACCTGGATAACAGCGTGAAATTACTCGACATTTGCACCGCTTTCAGCTCGGAGATCACAAGGATCAACCAATCCAACCTATTTCTCACGTGTGCCGTTCATTACCTTGACGGCCGTGGAGAAGAGAAGCTTCCCCAGGCTTGCTTGTCGTTGCAAGAATGGGGCCCGCGCATTAGCGGTCAAAACCCTAGATTGGGGCGTTGCTTTGACATATTGGACCGCCTGACCGAAAGTCTGAACTTGCCCAAGATTAAAAGGTCCGAGAAAGGAAAAGTTTTGATGCGAGCTATGTACGGTGTACGGACTGCTACCATTTTTGTCTGTAGCATATTTGCTGTTTCCTTCTCAGGGCGTGTGGAGAAGCTGAAGGAGTTGGAGATAGGTGACAGTTGTTACTTGTGGGCAGATAATTATACCCATCTCCAAGATCTCATTAACAAGGAAATTAGTAAGGTATTTTCCAGTGGCGACCGGGGGACGGCTTTGAGGGAACTTGAGGATGTTCGTGTTAGTGTCGAGAAGTTATGTCCCATAATTCGCCATGGTAGCGGCAGCGGCATGTTTCGGGATGAAACATTGGGGTTGGCCGTGGCGGTGGACAGGCTTTCCGAAGAACTTGATGGTTTGGCAAAAGAAGTGGATGGGTTCTTCCAGATTGTTCTAACGGGCCGTGATGCTTTGCTTTGTAATCTTAGAGTTGGGGATGAGAATGGAAGCCCGACGCAAGGGAATACCGTCAATGTAGAGCGGACAACATCGAGGTGACCTCTTATCCTTGGTGATATATGTATTGTTATGGTTCTCCGTTATTGCGTTGGTATATGTCAGTGATGTAAAAGTTGTCATTTGTGGTTTAATAGTTGGTAGTTAGTGACTTAGTGTAATAGAGTTGGGGATGAGAATGGAAGCCCGACGCAAGGGAATACCGTCAATGTAGAGCGGACAACATCCAGGTGACCTCTTATCCTTGGTGATATATGTATTGTTATGGTTCTCCGTTATTGCGTTGGTATATGTCAGTGATGTAAAAGTTGTCATTTGTGGTTTAATAGTTGGTAGTTAGTGACTTAGTGTAATAGTGTCCCAATGTTTGAACTTTGATGTATGAGGTTATCTAATGTAACAGTGTGTTTAAGCTTCTTACTGTCTGTATATATTAATTTTTTACTTGATTACATGTTTTTGCATCATTTAGGAAGAGTAGGGTTGGACCTGGTTCATGTAAAACAGCTCTGGAATCAAATAGGTAAAATGTAAAACAACTGGCAGGTTTTTCAGCCGTGGAGCAGAACCGGTTCAAATTGATTTGGATTATGGTTCCTCCAAAATAGGACCCAGAATAGATTATACCAAGTAGTTTTTGATGTATTATATATGGAGTAAAAAAATTCGGCTAAAACGAGAAGTTACTTGGAATCAAAACCAACCAAAAATTGTCTGATTATGATGTTTTTACTTGGACTGTAATTTGCTGGTCTGGTCAAGTCTGGTCTAGTTTGGTTTCTTTGTATTTTTATAACTATCCAAGTCTGGTCTGGGAGGAATTACAGTCCAAGTAAAAACATCTTAGTCTGGGTTCCAAGTCCCTAAATCATCTTTACGTCATCGCTTTCTCTGGCTCAAAAAGGCAAAATGACTGCTCAGTGAAAATGACAACTAAATAATTGTAGTTTAGTTGAAGAGGTAAAAGTGTACCCTTCCTGGATTTGAAGGAATTGTTCGCAGGTATAATTTTACCTAGACTTGGGCTCGGGCCCGGTCGGGCCGGTGGTTTTGAATAGCTGGACTAGGGACGAGCCCTGGTCCGGTCCGGATCCGGGCCGGGCCTTGGGTTTGGTTAAAAAAACCAAAAAAATCAATTTGGCCCGAACGGGCTGGGGCTTGTTTTGGGTGACCCGAGCCCGGACCGGAAACCCATCGGGTCGGGTCTATCCGGACCGGTCACTGACCGTGCCACCGGTTCGGGTCGGGCCGTAACAGTACCAGTCCCGGGCCGATTCCGGGTTGGGCCACCCGACCCGAGTCCAAGTCTAATTTTACCTATTTTCAGTTTTGGACCGGTTTCGATCAATTCATGTTCTTTAGCCTATTTATTTACGAATAATAATAATAATAAATTAAGAAGGATGGGAAAATGGGAATCATAAAAGTTCTAGTCAGGTTCTGGAAGGGAACTTCACTTCTAAGTAGGGATGGATTCGGGCCGGGCCTAGGCCCGGTCGGGCCGCCGGTTCAAGAATAGTGGGCCCGGGACCGGTCCGAGGGTTGGACGGGTCCGGTTCGGGCCGGGCCACCCGCCCGGGTCACGGGTCGGGTCCGGTTCGGGTCGGGCCGGTTAATTTTTTTTTAATAATTTATATTTTATAGTTTATAGTTTTATACGAGTATTAAAAACAAACTTCAATTGCATTTATTTGAAATGAAATAGGAACTACATTTGAAAATTAAAACAAACTTTAAGAGATAAACATTTTGAAAATTGTAATCAATCGGAACTTCCCGCACCTCCCGATCCTTTGGCTTTGTCACATGACTTCATATGCTTGATTGCCATCCCGAATCCGCCTGAAGCCCCCATGTTACATTTTTTCTCGCACCATTTGCAAATTGCGTACCACATCCCGGTCTTCGGGTCCTTCTGCTTATCAAAATTATACCGTATAATGGCATCTTGATTTTCCATCTTAACTTCTTAAGTATAAACTATAAAGTAGATATATAAATAATAAATATAATATATTGGAGAATAAGAGAATTAGAGAGTAGAGAGTTAAGAATAGGATTTAGGAAGAATTGGAGAAGAGATGAAAAAATGTTTAAGATTAGGAGTATTTATAGGTTTTTTTACCCCCCACCCCCCACCCCACCAGCCAATCCCCCCGGACCCCCCCCTTTACCCCACCCAACGGCTATATAGCCGTTTGGGTTGTCCCCAGCCCCACCCCCAAGGCCCCAACGGCTAGTAGCCAAACCAAACAAAAAAAAGTTTTTTTAAAAAAAAATAGACCCGGACCCGGACCGGGTCACAAAAATCCAGAACCGAGCCCGCCCCCGCCCCTTCCCATCGGTTCGGGTCCATACCCGGTCCCGGACCGCCCGACCGGGCCAGGCCCGGGCCCGCCCAGTACCGGGCCGGGCCGGGTCACGGGCCGGGTGGCCCGAACCGAATCCATCCCTACTTCTAAGTAAAATCTTAAATGCAAATATTGTACGCTTTATATTGTCATGCTTGCCCTTCAAGAGTTATGTTTTATTGTGTTTTCTTTTTCTTTCAAATTATTAAAATATATAAACATGCCGGGCTTTATTTTGTTCTTGGTCCCTGTTTTTAAAATACAATTGTTTAAATTAAACAAATAAGAGGAAGTACCTATAACATGCTTCCATTCTTTAAAAAAAACTCATTCCAATGTTCTACACTTCTACAGTTCTACTCATTTAGAATTTTAGATATATGAATACAAACGGGAGCCCGAGCCCGAGCCCGAGCCCTTGACCATCATCATAGCCAGGGGTGGACCGGTTCCAGTTCGGGCCCGGTTCAGGCCTGGGCCCAGCCGGGCCTCGATTCAAGAAGGGGAGGCCCGGAACCGGCCCGGGTAACCCCCGGGTCCGGGCCGGGCCGGGCCTCAGTTTTATTTTATTTTTATTTTTTTTGGCTTTTCCTAGTTAACCCCTAACCCTCTCCCTCACCCCCAAACCAACCCTAACCACCTCAAATGGCCCAAAATAACCAGCCCAACCCAAAAACTTAAAAAAAATCAAAAAAAAAAAAATTAAAATTGACCCAGCCCGGGCCCAAACCGGCCGGTTCACCTTTTGAAGGGCCCGAGCCCGAACCGCCATCCCACCGGGCCGGTTGGCCCGAACTGGGCCCGGAACCGGTTCACCGATCCGGGCCGGGCCCGCACATTAGCGGGCCGGTCCGGTTCTGGGCCGGTTGGCCCGGCCCGAGTCCACCCCTAATCATAGCCATACTTCTGATCCAACGCTTCAACAGTTGAACTTGAGTTACATGATTTGGAATCTCCAATCAGAACTCTGAATAGTGAATAGTGTGACAATGTCACAGGTGTATATCCCCCAAATGCCACAAGGAATGTATACAATAAGGCATTTAAGACTCCAGAGGAGTAGTTACATACCTAGGGGTAGACCTGGTCCGGCTCAGTCTAGAACTAGGTCTGTAATTCAGTCCTGGTTCAAGACCGGGTAACCGGCGGACCCAGTCCCGGGCTCTAATTTTTGGGATCAAACCAGGCGGTTCCGGTCCCGGTTTCGGTCCTAGACATCAGCCAATTTTTGGGATCAAACCAGGCGTCAGAAGTGGTTCGTACTCTGAAATGGCATGGAGTAGGGCTTTGGTCCGTCTCTTGCTTCCGTATTTCAAGTCTCTTTTTTGTCCAATTGAAAATTGGTCCTACTTTTGGAAAGTGAGAAGTCATGGGTCTTATTTTAGTCTTTATTTCCTTAAAATTCAAGAACCGCACTTTTTTAGGTTTTAAATCAGGATTCTAAATAAATCCACCCCATGCCAGTAATACTCCCAAACTAATATATCCCCTCTGAAATTAGATGCAACTGCAGCAAAATCTGCTTAGACACCGACAGCAATGTGATAATTCATTGACCTACAACAAACAAGACTTTGAGGCATGTTACAACAGCGCACTCATTTCCTTGCCTTCTGCTTTGATTTTGAGTCAAAGTGGTGAGACCTGAGCTTCTTCTTTCTAACCACGGGGGCTTGGCCACCACCATCTTCCCTGAAGGGCATCCCCATAAGAGCCAGCAGCCGTTGAGCTTCTTTGTCAGTTTTGGCAGTGGTTGTAATGCAAACATCCATTCCTCTCTGTTTCCCAAGTACATCAGATGTTATGTCTGGGAAGACACTCTGGTCATGAAACCCGATGCTGTAATTCCCTCTACCATCGAAGCTGCTTGGGTTAACACCTTGGAAATCCCTTGTCCGTGGAAGCCCTAAGTTGATGAGTCGGTCTAGAAATGAATACATTATCTGCACAAACAAAATTATAAAATATAGATATGATGGACTCAGCAAATCAGTAAGTTGGCTAAGATGAAAGGCTTGCCCACTCAAAATCATCAGCATCACTTTTTTGAGCTTACACTGAACTACTGAAGGAAATGAGACTTCATTAAGTTGAGAAATAAACTCAGTGCATTTATCTTGGGCTGGAGGCTAAGGAAGCGGAATTATGATTCTATGATCACATTTAAAGTTTAAGTTTTTTATACGGATAATAAATTCCTTTGTCCACCATCCATCCGGTCTATTGAAGTTAAATCCAACCAATACAATAAGAGCCCATTTGTAAGGCTTAAAATAGGTGAACTGATTAAATCAATTAAAATTGTTGTGGTTGGAATAACTAAATTTGCTAAACTAGATCAAATACGGAATCATTATATTTAAAACATATCTTATTTATAAAATAAAGTGAGAAATGTAGGAAAACCAGCTAAATCGTTCATCTTCAACAACTTCAACCATTTCAGCAAAATAGGTATATTCACAATTACTTTTTCTCAGTATTACTTTTTGGGAGAACTATCAAATAAGCCTTTGAACTTTCATAAAAAGTGTAAATAAGCCCTTTTACAGGAGACTTTGTCCGGCTGTCGCCATTTGGGGCGGTTTCCGGTGGAATTTTTTGATGAAATTTTTTGAGCATCTTCTTCATTAAGTCTAATTTAACCATACCAAATTTCAGCTAAAAATTCAATTGAGAAGGCAGTCAAATGATTTTCTGAAATATACTGCGCTGTCTAACTGCGCAGTTATCTTCAAAAATTCATTTGACTGTCTTCCCGATTGAATTTTTAGCTGAAATTTGGTATGAGTAAACTAGACTTAAAGAAGATGCTACAAAAATTTCATCAAAAAATTCCACCGGAAACCGCCCCAAATGGCGACGGCCAGACAGAGCCTGCTATAAAAGGGCTTATTTGCACTTTTTATGAAAGTTCGAAGGCTTATTTGGTAGTTCTCCCTCACTTTTTCAATTACTATGTGTTCGGTAAAAAACTTTGACCGATAATCTGAAAAACGCAGTTGCCAAACAGCCTCTAATAATGCTGGATTGAAATTAATCTATCCAAATATCTAGATGTGTCATATTGATAGTGATCAATCCATTTTTATCCATTTGGTCGCATTGGGAAAAAAAAAATCTCTTTTGAACCCATAGGAACTATGAAGTAGGAATCATTGAGTTTACACAACAACAATAACAACAACCAAGCCTTAATTCCAAAACATTTTGGGGTCGGCTTACATGAATCGACACATGAAATCGGAGCAAAAAAGATAAGATAGATATAAGATAAGAAAGATAAGGAAAGATAAAAAGATATTACCTCCGTTCCGAAAAGGTTTGCCATATTGACTTTTTTTTTGTCAATGATGGCGAACTTTGGACAATGATTTTAATTATTATATTTGTATATAATTTATAAAATTTATACTTTTATGAAAATATTTTGAATAAGGAACATTTTGATATAATTTTCATATTCCAAATATTTTCGTATTAAAAAATATCAATGGTCAAAGTTGAATGTCATTGACCAAGAAAAGTCAATTTGGCGAACCTTTTCAGGAATTTACACATTTCATTAAAATATTTTTTCATTCATTTCTCAATAAGAATGATGAAGAGTACGTTTAAAAATATATGTTCAAGGGATTCTAACTAAAACCATGTGTATGTCCGAGATAAAAGTTGATGCGAGCAAGAGTTCCTCATCAAAAGTAACATTCAAGTCATGGACACCTTTAACATGGGAATCTTAGCAACCACTACCTTGTATAAATACTCCAAACAAGTACAATGAACTCATTATTTCCATGTGCAAAAACTGAATCTATTAAATGAAAAAAAAAACAATTGAAACTATCAAATGAACAAAATGACTAAAAGGCCTTTAGCAATCTTAAACACACCAAACTGAGAGTCTAAAATGGTGTTATTTGCAACCTTTCAATTCTTGCAACATATCACTGTCCTTATTAGGATGATCTTTACCTGACAATCGGTCGGCAGTGTGCACACAACACCATCTATTACTTCCTCATGACACTTTATAATTTATATGATAGGACTTTCACCAACTACTAAATTAGTAATACACAGCACTCTTTGGAAAACAATATCGCAGAAAACAATAAAAATTGCGCAATGTATCTGAAATACTAACAGACACTAGGTGGCTTATCGCTCAAATGCATAAGAAATTATATAAAAATACATACTAGTCTAATGATAAGATGACACAACCATACTAACTATGGTTTCACACCAAACGCCTTTATTAAATTCCAATACTCATTTTCAGGATAGAAAACCATGGAGTCTAAGAGAGGTTAACATGGAAGGTTAGGGGACATTAGAGGAAAATGTGTTTTAAATTCCTAAAGGAGTAATTATTTTGGGACAGAGAACGGGGCTCAAATGACACTTGTTTCTGGACAGCGGGAGTTTAATGTAATAAAATTCACTCGTCTTTGAAAAACAGTGTCATAAATTGGTATTATGTAATTCTCAAATGGACTTTGGCCTTTCCAAAATGATTTGCAAAGTCTACTTTTGTTCATTAGCCCATGTTGCTTTTATTTACTTATTTACGAATAAGGATATCAATTCTTTATCATATTCTAATTTGAACTTTGCAACTTCGTAGAGATTTTAATTCAGTTTCTGAATGTGTATATTTTAATTATTGAAACTAATTTCACTATATGTACTTTATAGTTAGTCAACCTTAAAACAGCGAATTGCAAAACTTTATTGTGAGTCAAACTTAGAACCGCATTGCAAAAATTTATCCTCAGCCAACCTTAGAACTGCAAATCGAAAATCATTTTGGGACAGATAAAGTATGAAGTACTGAGAGAAACCCAGCACTCAAATGCAAAAGAAATGGGTATACCTTTCCTCTAAGAGTGACAGCAATTCCAAGAGGCTGGCCTTCTCGAATTTTGAAAGTTGCAATAGCCTTCTTTGCCCTCGTCTTAACAGGCTTTTGCCCTGTAATTAAAGCCAGTTCATTCATGGCAGCATCCAGACCCTTGGAATTTTGAGCAGCATCCCCAATTCCACAGTTTACCACTATCTTTTCAACCTTTGGAACCTACTCGAACCAAACATAAATATCATTACCAAACAAAACAAATTCAAACTAAGGCTTCAAAACACAAAAAATGAAAATAAAAATTAACCTCGTGAATGTTCTTATATTCGAACTCTTCTTTGAGCGAAGGAACGATTCTTTCGAGATATGCAGACTTCAGCCGATGAATTTTTTCGGATTCGCTTTTATCCACTCGCACTATCCCTGAGGTAGCCTTCACGGATAAGCCGCGATGCCAAACTTTCGTGTTACCGGCCTGTAAGGTGAAGGAATTCAGTGGGATCTGGGCGTGGAATGTAGAGACCGTGGAGTGGAGAAGCGATGGAGAAGACGCCATCAACTGCGACGGTGGTCCGTGGCGGAGGAGGAGAAGTGACGAGCTCAGCGTTAGACTAGTTTGATTTCTTCGATTCAGCTGCTTCCGGAGGGTAGGGGAGAGATAGAGGGACGGGGAAGGATTGGAATGAAAATGTGATATGCCCAGGCTGGAAGGGGCGGCAATGAAGCCGTTGATTTTACAGGATGGGTGAGCAAGAAGGTAACCAAGTTCTGTGCGTCTTATTTGGGTTGAGAAATGGATAATTTCATCCAATTCAACTTTGACTCCGGATAATAATATGGTAATCAACAATTTGTTAGTGTTTTCCTAATTAATTTTTATTTATTTATTCTTTGTGATGCTTTGGCGTTTGCTTAATACTCCAATTTGGAAATAGGATGGAGATTTATATACATATAGAGAGAAATCGGGAGCTCTAAAGATATTGTTCCAACTTCATTTACAATGCATTAATTAAAAGTTACCGATTAACCATATATTCACAAATGTTTCTGATTTCACTCTGAACTCGTATAGAATTTGATGCGATCATATCTTGCTCTATTTTGAGTCGTATATATATATATATATATATATATATATATATATATATATATATATATATATATATATATATATATATATATATATATATATATATATATATATATATATATATATATATATATATATCCAAGTAAACGCGACAATTTTTTAATGTTTCATTTTCAAGGCAACTTTAAATCACCAACCCCTTCATAAACACAATACATATCCAAGTAAACGCCAGACATTTTAACATTTCATTTTCAAGGAAACGTTAAAATAATTAAAATACTTACTTATTTCTTTGCCACAATAAATTCATGTAGATTGTTTAAGTGAGTTAGGTATGTACTTTAGTGTGCTGGTTTCTAAATGTTTAAATGGGTTAAGTGTGCAATTTAGTGTTATCGTTTTCATATAATCATTGAATTCTAATTTTAAAGGTCTTAAGAACACACATCTTTTAAATATTTTTAATTGTTATATACCTGAAAAAATGTCATAGAATATTACATATATATCATCTAAATAGGTTGTGTATATTTTTTTATGGAAGAGGACATATAAAAAGTGTGACTCCTACACATAGTAATTGTGTATTTGTGTTGCACGCAAATAAGCACACACAATGCGGCCAACATATATTTTGTACTAGATTAAAGTAAAATGGTAGTTAGTCTGCTGAATTAATACTTCGTAGTATATTCAATTAATTTGTGTGCATGGGATCATTAAATTTTGTTAGCAATATAAAATTAACAACATGGATGAGAGGTATCAAAGGTAGAAAAATCACCGCTCGTATACTCGCATTCTCATGGGTGCAACATTCATGAGTCATTCATGGTGTTCGCTATATAGGGTTCACATGTTGGCAAGGGCCAACTTGATTCTCTTCTTCAGAGATCTTAGACGGGCGAACCCTGTGAGAGCCGTCGACTCCAACTACGGTCCACATATGATCCATGTTACCTTTTCGCTTTATGATGATAAAAAAATGATCCATTTTGAAGAGAGAGTTTTCGCGTGGTGGATTAGGCTAGAGTGTCAAGTGGATGCAATGTTCTAAAAGGCGATCGTCTAGCACCAGCCTTGCACCTAGCGTCTAGGTGGCTAGGCGGGCGCCTAGTCGGGGAGTAATATTTTATTTTTGTGTGAATAAAATACATACATACATACATACATACATACATACATACATACATACATACATACATACATACATACACACACACAAACATTAACAAACATGAATGATATAATTATCACATTTAATCATATGTAGTATATGAATGATATAATTATCACATTTAATAAATATATGATATTCACAAATGATTAAATGTGATAATTATCACATCCAAATTCTGGAGAGCGGGTGTGAGATAAGGGGGTTCCGCGACGTAGTATATGATAACGAATCATTAACTTCATTATGTTATAAATATAAATAATGATAAAATTTAGGTATATATACAAACATATATAGTTTTATCTTAATTTACAACTTCATTTCTTTATATCTATGACTAAAGTTAAAGTACATATATCGCTTGACTAAATTTTAAGTATAGAATTTATGTTTCTAGTGAATTCTCTCTCTTTTGTACAAACTTCAACCACACAGTTTTTAATTTATTAATTTCCGTATCAGTCAAAATTTTAAGAGACGGAGAGGGTAATAACTTAAAAATTGTATAGAAAAGTAAGTTTAAACATCCCTTACTCCTTTAATCCCCTTGAAACTTTGTAACTTTCCTCTTTTGAGTTGTCCCAACAATTTTCCCACTTTTAGTAAAAAATCGTGGTTCCACTTAATTCTCCTTTCTCTAAACAAACCTCAATCACACAATATTTATTTTATTAATCCACGTACCGATTAAATTAACAAAGTTTCAAGGTAAGGAGGTTGTAGTATGAAGTCTTTTATAGGGAAATGATACAGAGTACTCCCTCTGTCCCTTAAAACTTTGTCAACTTTCCTTTTTTGGATATACTACTAACTTTGACACTTTCCTTTTTAAATAAACAATTTGTGGTTACAATTAATTATAATATTATATCTCCTCTTCATAAACCTAAAACACACAGTTTTTACTTTATTAATTCCGGTGACAGTCAACTTGACAAAGTTTTAAGGGAGTAGACTAGACTGATTTTTACTTTATAATTTTAGCTAAGTGAGTAGAGTAGACTGATTTCCCCGTTGCTGGTTGAAGAATCACATTCTGCCGACGCGCGTTTGCAGCGAGTTGAAGAAACGCACTCCTGGTCTAAGCGAGGAAACAGCGAACCCGTAAGCACGCAATGCAGAACGCGAGTGGATTGGAAATGTGGGGTCAGAGTTCTTCCTTCTGGGTAGCGTAGCAGCCAACGTCATTTCTTTGGCTTTCTTCCTCACAACCGCTCTCCAGAACTTGGACCCATCCCCTCCGTCGCGGAACCCCCTTATCTCTCTCTAGACGACATGCTTCGATATATATAAGAAGTATATATGTATCCTTCTCTTTGTTATTGCGATTTAGCCGGAGAAGAGGGAGTTGTTCGCAAATATCGAAGCCCCAACTCATCTCTCTCCGTATCTTGATCCAGGTAGAAAATTAAACCCTAGCGTTGAAATCGTTAAAGATCATACTACCAGAGAAATATGAGCGAAAGTGTTTGTATTTCATCTTGTACGCTCGTTGTGTAATGAAGTTGAGTTTGTCGTCCGGATTCCGGGGGAGTTTTTGTAGAATCTAGATCATCGCGCGGATGCGTAAGCTTGAAGTCGAATTTCTTTGAATGTCATCGCTAATGACATTTGATTGAGTGGAGGTAGGATTGATTATTGGTATTTCGCAATTTCCTTGCGGATTGAGCTTGCTTGAGTGAATTAGGTTTGTTCGAAATCTGTCACCTTTTCATTGCTTTTGCTACATATGATATTTGTATCTGTTGTTGTCAATGGGGGTGGTGGTGTTAAACAGTGATGATGGGTGCCTGGAAATGACCTTACACGATTGCATTTAGCTCGATTCAGTAAAAGTGTTGTTTATTTGCATTTCCGGGGATTGATTTGGGATTTCTTGCAATGACTATAATGCCTTGGTTTGTGGCGGTTTGATAGATAGTTGGTTGTGACAGGCAGTTGTCAGTTTAGTGTATGCTCGCATTCTCCCCATTGTTCAGAATGAGCCTAGATAGTGAAGATCGGCAGCTGCCAGAATGCTCTGCCAGTATACATATTGATAAGTAATAATTTGTTCTTGCATATTATTTGTTTCTTTTCCTGAATATAATGAAGTTCTTGTGTCTTCAGTTTTCATATGTTTCTATTATGGCTTAGGCATTCAAAGGTATCTTACACAAGAGAGTTCATTTTGTCCTTGAGTGAGTTGGAGATATGCCAAAAGCTACCAAGTGGGATTGATCACTCGATCCTTAGGTATGGTGCCAGTTACCATTCATACAAAGCGTCCATTGAATCATCTGACATAATATTAAAATTTACTTAATAAAAAAATAAAGAGTATCTTGTATTGGGTCATGACTTCATGTTCTTATGTTTCAGTGAGTTGGAGAGTACTTCACTTGCCACAACACCCGATCGCCAAAGAGTTCTTGGCGGTCTTCCTTCACAAGGTTTCAGACGCAATGATTATGGTTCATCCCCACCTCCCAGAGGGGTTTATGGGAGATGGGATAACCGCTTTTCCGCTCGGAGTGATCAAGAAAGTGATGCCCACTCTGTTCGGGATTCAGGTTCAACTACTGCTGTATTTTGCACAATCCTATACATACTCCAGTTTCATCATTTTCTTTTAGTCTACATAGTTATTTGTCGTCACAAGCTTCTTACATTGGACTTTTAACTAGCAGGAAACTTGCTGTGAGACTGTGTATTTGAGGTTTTCGGCATTTAGTTACTTTTGCACCAGATGACATATACAAACAAACTCAGTGTGATTAAATTGATTAAACCAATACCTTTTTCAAATTTATATAGAGAGAAATCTATAACTTTTAAGAGGTGAACCTTGCCAAAATTTAGAAGTTGTACGTTGACCATATATGACTCTTTTTCATTGGGGCGGGAGTGTAATTTGCACATGTTGCAATCTTTAGGCTTTAGACTTGAGAGAGCATGCCCTCATATCGATAATATCAACTCTCTGATCCTATATCCAACGGTTTATTCTCATCTTGCACGTCAACCCTATTATTTTAAGCATCAGTAATGAGGACCCTATATCATCTAAGTTGATCTGCCTTCATAACTGGCGTGTTCATTCTGTTTGTTATTTTGTACTGTGTAGGATGATTTTGTTCCTGAATGTGTGTGCCTCTTTCCTGTGCTCACTGCTCATGTATGTTTTGATTCCATAAATAGACACAAGTATGCTAATAATCTCAAGTTACCTCATGTAGAATCTATTAGGCGTCCAACCAATCAACCTCGGCGGCCTGGGCAGAGTTCTGAGCATGATGGGCTTCTTGGAAGCGGTTCATTCTCCAGACCATCTGTCTACACACCATCTGGAGTGCCTCCTCCAAAACCACGGGGCAGTGATCAATATCAACATAATAAGAGCAATGAGCCTTATCAACCTCCCCGCCCTTACAAGGTTTACAATTAGCTTATTGACCTCTCCTTTATTATGTTCAGTTTGTTAGTGAGCATTCGACCCATAAAATCAGTTTTCAACATTTAATTCTTGAAACCTATCAAAGTT